TACGTAGTTCGAACTATCTAGCCCGTGCCGCGTGTAGCCGCGCGGCACGGGGTTCGCACTAGCCGGCTTTTAAAAATGGCGGCGCCGGCTTTATGCTAATGAAGCCCGGGAAATTCAAATCCCGGGTTTCATTAGCAAGTTCGGTATGCATACATTACCCCGCTAGTTCGAACTAGCGGGGTAGTGTAGACATACCCATACAGATTCAACTTAAGAACAAACCTACAAGTCCCTATCTTGTACATAACCCGGGGACTGCCTGTATATGGAACTTACTTTTAAGGCAACCACTAACATGAGGAAGTGTGAAGGGTGTAGACCTCCCACCCCCCATTGTCTCAAGTAAGTGGGGTGAGGGCGCTCTGCAATTCAAGCTCAGCTCCCTCCCGTGGACAGCAGGAAGTCCACGCTGGTGCTCCAGCTTCTCCCCCAAGGTTGGAGCCCTCCTCTGGCTGGGGAAACAGCAGTGCGCAGATGTGCTGCCTGGAGGCTTTCCCCATTGCTCCTATTGTCTAGAATTTGCCCAGTGGGAGCAGTAGGGGGCCATGTTTGAGACCAGCACCGGGCAGAAAAGCAAGTAAATGCTCCCCCACACCTTCATGCCCTAACCCCCAAATACTCAGCCTCCTCATACAGCCCCCTGCCAAGACCCCACGCCTTTAACCTGCTCCTTTACCCTCCCGAGGCCAGATGCCCTACTCCCAGCCCACTCCTGCACACAACCTCCCATCCAGACCTTGCACCCCCACCTCCTGCCCAGATTATGCAGCCCCATTCCTTTCACTGGAAGCCCTGTCCTACACATGGGACAAAAAGGGGGGGGTGTCAAACCCCAGATATGAGGGGGGTCCACAAAACCCACTAACCTTAGTGTCCCAGACAAATACATTTGTGGTTGGTCCTACTTTGGGCAGGGGGTTGGACTCAGTGGCCTCCTGAGGTCTCTTCTAACCCAGTGATTTTATGGGAAGCCCTGAACCCTTAGTCCTTCCTGCCCCTCCCCCTTCACATACCAGAAGAGTGTCTCAGTTGGGGACCACATCAGTGAGAGGGTTGGGGGTTTGGGAGGGTTTTTTTTTTTTTGGCACTTCTCATGTGTGCAACTGATTTCTCTGTGGCCCAGGACCAAAAAAGGTTCCCCCACTCCATTCCAGAAATGAAGAAAACAATGTGTTGGACATAAATATTTATTTTGCTTTATTTAAAATGAAGTTTGATAAACTAACATGAGAAAGTTAAAGCACTTCAGCTGTTTAATAATTTAAATTAGTATTTTCTTTCTTATGTTTTACAATTAAACCAAACCATTCTCCCTAGCTGTAGGACTAGCAAAATGGCCCAGGCTTGATTAGGTAATTATTAGCTAGCTTCCATTAACAACTAATGGTCCACAGAAAGGTTTGCATTAAGTCAGGTGGACCCTGGGCCAAAGAGTTTGAGAACCACTGTGTAAGGAGGATGGGAGAGCACTGTGTGACAGGGAAATGGGTGAGCAGGGCTGGGGAAACGGCACCTCTATCCATGAGGAGTGACCCAGCCCCAGCCCATCTGGCTGGAAGCCCCACCTGCACTCTCAGTGCTGGCCTCACTAAGCAGGTAGAGGGAGCAGGGGACCATGGTGGCCGCACTGCCCACCTTTAGTACTGTATACATTTTTAGAATGTTATAACAAAACCATTTTATCACTGTTTCAACTTAATTTTTTTCGTTAACCTCTCATGTGCACTTGTATGACTATTTTGAACTCCTTTATATTTAAAAAGTAGTGTGGTTCACATTTACAGAAAAAGCAACTCCTCCCTCTCCACACACACACACACACACACACACACACACACACACTCCTGTGTATGGGCCTGAACTCTACCCTAATATTGGGGTTCACCAAAACTCAGCTATTCATAGACCTCAGATCCATCTTGATTCCTCATTTGGGTACACAAACTTAAAACCAAGTTGATGCTCTGGTTGCACTGTATTGCTTGTAAAATCTTTAAAACAGTGAATAGTCCTGCAGCACCTTAAAGACTAACAAAAAAGTGAAAATGGTATCATGAGCTTTTGTGGGTACAGCCCACTTCTTCAAATGAATGGGGCAAGAGCTTGTAGTTAACTGTCTTTCTACTACTTCCCATTTTTAGATATGGAGGACTTGTCTACATGAACAGCAAAGCACACAAGAGATGTGTTACACACAGGTTGACTTGTGTAGACCCTGCTAGCCCACACTAGCAGTTCCCTAGTAAGCATTTACAAAGTGTGGTGCCAGTCTACCCATAGACCCAGAATTAGTTTACATTCAGTTTTCTCTGCAACTATTAGGGCTAGAAACATATTTATGTAACAGCTTATACTTCTGGATCACAACATGTTGCAGGAACATGTGAATTCTGCTGCCACAGAATGCACAATTTCTGGTGTTTTCTGACTTACCACGGTGATCATGACATAAGAGCATGGATCTATTTTATTGCAAATAAGCTTAGTAAAAAGGGAGTGCTGTTTCTTTTGAAAGTGAATGCAATGTTACCAAACTGCATATTTCTCCACCACCACTCATTAGCAAATGGAAAGAATGAGGCATGACACATACCTGATCATATGATACTGGTGTTTGCCTATGATTGGAAAGCTCCACTAATGTGCTCACGTCTGTGCGTAGATCAGACTTGCAACCCACAAGAAGCATTTTGGTGTTAGGACAAAACTCCTGAATTTCACCTTTCCACTGTAAAAGATTATTTCTGTTAACTAAAGCATGCTAATTAAAAGAGGCAATGGAAACAAGATTAGAGTTTGGTAAAAGTCACAAGATGTATTTTTACAAATATTATATAGGTACTTATTTAACTTGTAACTGTGCTACAAGTTGGCTTTGAGGATTTTAGAACATTTGTGCCAGCACAAAAACTCAGCAGTTTACAATCTAGGACAGATCTTGCAACCCCTATCCACCCATTAGTCCTGCTGACTTCAACTGAAGTGTCCATTTATGTGACTAAGGATTGTCAGAGTCATGCCCTGATCCCGCCTACAGTCAGTAAAAATATACACAGTCTCATTCTCCCACCCTATGACTCACTGGTTTTACCCACATTGCAGTAGAAATAACAAAGGGTGTTGCCATTATCTGGTTCAAACAGTTCCTCAAATGACAAAATATACATCATGGCTTCATTTTAACACTGTAAAAATCTGTTTGATCTGTGAAGAATCAATTTGTGGTGATCAAATAATATACTTAATCCTGTGCACACAATAACACACGGTATATCTTGTGCAAATACTGCATGTAAACATGGAAATAAACTCATAATTCGTGTTTTTCAAGTCTCTGCAACCTATATCTGACAAATCTTAGAATCATTAACATTTGATGGAACATTTTAATGTTTGCATGTGTATTGAAAAAAACATCCTCAATTTTGTAAATAAGTGAAAACATAGTAGCTACTATTTATTCAGAAATTTAAATACTGTACGTTTTGTACATGGCAAACCAGGCAGGAAGACTTTTTTAAAACAAGCCTGTTCCCACACTTGCTGACATTGTCAGTCATGGGGTGAGTCTACATTGCATTGTAACTTGAAATAAGATATGCAATTTGAACTACTCAAATTTTGCATCTTATTTCGATGCTATTTCAAAATAGATATCATTTAGTGCTAAATTTCAAAATAAAGTGCTATTCCAAAACGTCTGTTACTCTTCATAGTATAGCAGGCTTGCTGTGAAGATGTGGGATAGCATAGCAGTGTAGACGTATCCATGGTGGTGCTCGGACAAGAAAATAAATTATATTACTATCAAAATAATTGAAACACAGGAGGAACCACCAACATGACAACTTGGCCTGCTAATCTCCATGAACAAAACTGCATTAGTGGACGAAGTTGTTAGTAAGCTCTGAAGTTAACACCGTAGAATTCCTGATTCATTCTGCACCAAGCAAGGGGAGAGGTGTGAAAACTCAAAGGGGCAGGTGTATGGCTTTACTTTAGTTTTGCTGAGAAATCATACACTAATCCTGAAGACCTTTGAACATCTGAAAGGAAGGCCTGCACTTCCAGACCATGTCTTCATTAGGAAAGTATTTCAAAATTACTAAATTAAACTCCTAATTGAAAAAATTCAACCTAGTGTGTCCACACTACAGGGAAGCCTTGAAATTAGTCCAAGGCAGGATTTGGTAATGTGGACGCGCTAATTCGGATTTAGAGCTGCAGGAAATACTGAGGAGTAATTAATTTGAATTACCCCGGGGAGCAGTTATTTCAAAATAACGGCACCAGACCATCCAAACTACCATTACGTCAAAATGACTTTCGGAATTAGCATTACTCCAAATGAAAAGCATATGCTTGGTAGTGTGGATGCTCCTCTTATAAATTCAGCTTTGGGGGATTATTCTGAAATTAAGTCCTAGTGTAGACCAGGAACCACACTGATTTGAGTCCCCTTCCTTAGTCATGTTGTCATTTGCACTTCCACTATGACTTCATGTAACTATCACTGCAACATGAGTAAAAAGCTATGGTGAAGGTCTTAAATGCTGGGCAGGCCAGTATTAATTGTGCCAAAGACAGCTACTATAGTCTTTAATCCCTTTTGCAAGAAGAATATGCCTGGAAAGACAGCTTCTCATGGCTCCATTCCTTTTTTTAATAGTATATGTTTCTAATATACTTGCAGAAGACATTTGGGAATGAGTATTCTACTTAATTCACTTAATGCCTCTGAGTATTCTTCAGTCTTCTCAAATAGTGGTCTAAAATTCTAGCACCACCAAGTGCAGTTATAGGTTATTTTAATAAAACAATCAAATGCAGAAGACTATTTCCAGTTGTACAGTGACACATTTCAGAGTTTTAAAAACCATTCTACTTATAAATAGTTGAGATAAAAAATATATTCACACACTTGCCTTTTTTAGCACACTGTCAAGGGTTTCTGGACGACTGATGTCAAAACAAATTAAGACAGCATCGGAATCTGGATAGGAAAGCGGGCGGACGTTGTCATAATAAGGAGAACCTGTCCCGAAAAAGAGAGATTGTATTCCTTAACATTTTTTTTCTTTCAATAAACCTTTTTTCAATAAAGATTGGCCCTTGACCCAAAGTAGTTTTTGAATGGCATGTCACGATCCTTCCTTCCAAACAGTACATTTCCACGGTTAGTTTTGGTGCTCACTTTTCCACACTCAAAATCCTTCTTGTTACTAACCCTAAACAAGGGTAGTTTCCTCCTCAGCTAGTTCATCAGATTAGAAGCCCAGTGATTAAATTTCCTTTCCACACTTGAAAGCAGCGGTGACACTCTGGCTATGCCTACTCTGTAGGCTTCTTTCTGAAGAAGCTTTTCTTGAAGAGATTTTCTGAAAAAACTTCTGAAAGAGCGTCCACACGGCCAAAGTGCATCAAAAAAGTGATCTGGTTTTTAAAAGATAGTGTCCATTCAGTCTGGACACTCTCTCGCATGTAATCTGTGATTACTATGGTCAGAATGGCCACCAGAGCATCTGTGCTTTTTCCCTCTTAGAATCATAGGACTGGAAGGGACCTTGAGAGGTCATAGAATCCAACCCCCCGCCCTCAAGGCAGGACCAAGCTCAGTCTACACCATCCCTGACAGATGCCTATCTAACCTGTTCTTAAATATCTCCAGAGAGGGAGATTCCATCACCTCCCTTGGCAATTTATTCCAATATTTGACCACCCTGATAGGAATTTTCCTAATGTCCAATCTAAACCTCCCCTGCTGCACTTTAAGCCCATTACTCCTTGTCCTGTCCTCAGAAACCAAAAGGAACAAATTTTCTCCTTCCTCCTTGTGACACCCTTTTAGATATTTGAAAACCGCTATCATGTCCCCCCTTAATCTTCTTTTTTCCAAACTAAACAAGCCCAGTTCATGAAGCCTGGCTTCATAGGTCATGTTCTCTAAACCTTTAATCATTCTTGTCGCTCTTCTCTGTACCCTTTCCAATTTCTCCACATCTTTCTTGAAATGTGGCGCCCAGAACTGGACACAGTACTCCAGCTGAGGCCTAGTAGTGTAAGAGTAGAGCGGCAGAATGACTTCACGAGTTTTGCTTACAACACACCTGTTGATACAACCTAGAATCATATTTGCTTTTTTTGCAACAGCATCACACTGTTGACTCATATTCAACTTGTGGTCCACTATGACCCCTAGATCCCTTTCCGCCATGCTCCTTCCTAGACAGTCGCTTCCCATCTTGTATGTATGGAACTGATTGTTCCTTCCTAAGTGGAGCACTTTGCATTTCTCCTTATTAAACCTCATCCTGTTTACCTCCGACCATTTCTCTAACTTGCTAAGGTCATTTTGAATTATGTCCCTATCCTCCAAAGAAGTCGCAACCCCACCCAGTTTGGTATCATCTGCAAACTTAATAAGAGTACTCTCTATCCCAATATCTACATCACTGATGAAGATATTGAACAGTACGGGTCCCAAAACAGACCCTTGAGGAACTCCACTTGTTATCCCTTTCCAGCAGGATTTAGAACCGTTAACAACAACTCTCTGACTACGGTTATCCAGCCAATTATGCACCCACCTTATCGTGGCCCTATCTAAGTTATATTTGCCTAGTTTATCAATAAGAATATCATGCGATATAAGAATATCTTCTTGTGAAAGAACTTCCTCTTCCTCGTCCACACATGCCTTTTTGAAAGAGCTCTTTTGGAAAAAGGCTTCTTCCTCATAGAAAGGGGTTTACGAATGTCAGAAAAACCCCTCTTTTCCTCTGAAGACTGCGATTGCAGTGTGGATGTAATTGAAGTTTCAGAAAAATGGCTGTTTTTCAAAAAACCTCTGTAGTGTGTATATATACCCTCTGACAGTCCATAGAGTGAAATCCAGTCTGGGACAGAATATGAAGCTAGTGACGGTCATGTCTCAGAAAAGTGAGATCTTTTGGTTTGGATATAATCCCAATGGCGTGACCTAATGGGCTTTATATATTTGTCTTTAATGCCTATGGGTAGATCTACACTACATGGCTCTGTCAACGGAGTCATGTAGATGAGCTTTGTAGACATAGCAAAATGAAGCGGCGATTTAAATAATCGCCACTTCATTTACATCAAAATGGCTGCCGCGCTGTGCCAATCAGCTGTTTCTCGGCACAGCACGGTAGTCTGGATGCTTGGCGATCAACATCAAAAGCCTTTGTTAACTGCTCTTTTGATGTTGACTGCCAAGCATCCAGACTACCGCACTGTGCTGAGAAACAGCTGATTGGCACAGCGCGGCAGCCATTTTGATGTAAATGAAGTGGCGATTATTTAAATCGCCGCTTCATTTTGCTATGTCTACAAAGCTCATCTACATGACTCCATTGACAGAGACATGTAGTGTAGACATACCCTATGTGTAGGATCTGTTACCCATTGCTAGACTGAATGATCTAATATGTCTCTTCTATCTCTTAGAACAGTGATTATAAAATGTTGGTGCCTGTTCACCATTTATCTGAACTGACTGAATCTTCTGAATTGGTGGGGAAAGCACCTGGTATTCACAGAAAGAAGGTTCTTACACACACACTTTGCACTCTACCTCTGGCTCCATCTAGAAGCTGGACTAAACTTTCAATTCTCAAAAGCAGTTTATTTCAGTGAGTCTTGGGTGACTGTTGGGAAATCTTAATATTTTTCAGATGCTTATTTGGAAGGAATCCCCTCATGTTAGCCTCTCAGCCACAGCAGGACAACACAGCATTGCTTATTTTAAAGAGGTCTTCACTGGTCAAAACTAGAGTAAAATGGTGTTTGATCAATGCAGGGATGCCCTAGGATGCTGTACAGAAGTTAGTGTAGCAAACTGATGTGGTACAACTCTGCAAAGACTTATCAATGGAGTTAGGTTTTGGTGTTAGTAGCACCACTGGTTTAACTGAGATTATTCAGTGTATACAATTAAGTATGAGCATAAATCTCTGCAGGAATGTATCCATACTAGGTGTGACTAAACTGTGAGATAATTGATTATGGGCCAAATTCTCTGCTGGGCCATGACTACCAAAGATAAGATCGAAGCAACCACAGTTGATTTTCGAGAATTCAAATTAGCAGGTTTAATGAACACATGCTAACTCGAACTGAGAGGGCACTCCCGTCAATGCCAGTAGTCGTGCTATTACCAGGAGTAAGGGAGTCGAATGGAGAGTGCTCCCTTTGACTTCCTGCAGTGTGGGCAGCCCCAAAATTCAAGTTAAGATAATTCAAGTTAAGCTATGCAATTCATGTAGCTGTAGTTGCATATTTTAATTCAAATTTATCCCCTAGTGCAGACTGGGCTCCAGTGCAAATAGGTGCATATCTATTGACTTAAATGGAGTTTCATCCTTCTTCACTAGCAGAGAATGTAATCCTAGACCTGTTAAAACTTCTTTGATTCAGCAGTGTTCTTATGCAAATGACTGAATTGCATCTGGATTTAAGAAAAGCATACCTATAGGTTCAGAAAAGCTATGACAAAATAAATACTTAAGCTGCTGTACTTTACATGTACCTAAAAGGAGGACATGTGACATTTGAGACAATAGCATAACATTTTTAAATGTTTAAAAGTTTAAATTAGATCCCTTCTTTTCTGCAAACTATGATTAGTCTGATTAGAAAAATTGTGGAAGTTTCCCTGAAAGACAGAGTTCCTGATGTTAAACAAGGTAAAAAGAGAAACACAGACATCACAGTGCATCCAGCTGAACAGCTTATACCAGAAGGGAACTGCAAGAATTCTAGGAATTTTGTTTTTGAAATGAGGAGCAACATATGGGCAATGAAGCGTTACCAAACTAGGTAGAAGGTAGTTTGTCGAAACTGGGTTTCCCTTCCAAAAATTCCCCCGGAAGTTTTTTAAATAATGTCAGTCATACAGTGAATGAATGAATATTCATAACTTCACAATGCTGGTCTTCAAAACTTTTAGCACTCTTCTACAGCAAACTAAATGCTAGAGGAAAAATATCACCTATGGTATGCCTGACAAAGTAAATATTCAAAATACTGGGCCAAGTCCTGCTTTCAATCTATGTCTACACAGCAGTGTTATTTCAGAAGAACTTGCATTATTCCAAAATAACAGTCTGCAGCGACATTTCAACAATGTCAAAATAATGTTGAGCTGGAGGACTTCTTATTCCAACTCCTGTAACCATCATTTATGGGGGGATAAGGAAGTCAGAGGAAGAGTGCTCCAACTCTGACTTCCTGCTGTACAGACAGCATCAAAAGCCAAAATATGCTAGTTCGACTTAAGCTATGTCTATTGCATAGTGTAAGTTGTGTAGCTTATTTCAGTTTAAGCTCCAATATATAGACGTGCTCAATTATACCAATTTAAATCTAGAGATTACATTGGCTTCAGCTGAATTCTTGTATTTACTAGGAGCTAAATTTGGCTTTTGTGGAATGAAAAAGGCCCATATTTTGGCTCTAGATTTTTGTGTCCTACAAAACAATTCCAATAGCTGCTTATTTAACTCCAATTGAGTAATGTTTTGATATTAGTGGGCTCACAATCACAGTAGAACTGTTCTTTATTTTTGCATCAGAAGACCTGACATTGTATGTAGTGGATTAGCACTTAGCTGGACTTCTGAAAAGGAAATATCCAGAGTAAATCATAAGGATTTACTTTATGGCATCCTTTTAAGGATGCCATAAAAGGAAACAATCTTATGCCTCCCTCCTCCCCAAAAAATGCTTTTAGCTTTCTACATAGCTGAAACTCAATTGAAATTAAAGGGAAGAGTTTGCTCCTTGGTACAAGTTATATTTTTGCTGTGCCATGTGTATCAATAAAATGTATTCTTTTCTAACAAATCCTGTTCTGTTAGGAGTATTGCAATGTGGGTATCTTCCCCATCACTACCTGGCCCTGACATTCAATCTGTCAGGGAATGATCTGCCAGATAATTCCACTGCCAAAATCCCAGTAGATATTCTATGAGATTCTCACAGGGTACATCTACATAGCAGGGCTAAAGTCAAATT